TCGATTACTTTTGCATAGGTAATCGATTACCTAGTTCAGTAATCGATTACCTATCCATAGGTAATCGATTACCAAAAACAGGGGAGCCCAAATTGAGCTACTGTCTCATTCTGGAATTTCTGGTAATCGATTACCTCAAGAATGGTAATCGATTACCACTGTGTAAATTTTGAAAATAAGTGTTTTTATAACCCTAAATTTATGGTATTGCTTGGAGGGGTTGTAATGAATAAGTTTTATGCTTTCGCGAGTTTTGCAATTACAATTACAATGTTGTTTTTAATTGATTACATAAATGATTAAGGTTTAAAGATAAGGATTTAATAAAAGACAAAAGTTTACCCGTAATTTAATTAGCTCAATTACTGTGATTATAACTGCGCTTAATACCATATGCAATGATAACATTACCGGTACGTAACGGGCTGTTACACTTTTTCTTCCTAATTTTATAAAAAAATGTAAAAAAGTATCAAATTTTTTTACATTTTTATGTGTGTGTATATATATATATATAGAGTAAATACCCTTTTTAGTCACTGACAATATCCACGAAGCCCTTTTCAGACCCTAGCAATAAAAAAGGGACAAATTGGTCCCTGAAATAACAAAAAAGAGGATACGTTCATCCTTCCGTTAACTCCCACCTAACGACCCAACTAACGGTGCACAGTTGGAACGTTAGTTTGCTGACGCGACTTGGATGTGGGACACCGTGAAAGACGAGACGACGACGTTTTGGTCCCTGTCAAAACCACGAGGGCCATTTTGGTCCCTGTCAAAATGCACGAGGACGTTTTTAGTCCCTGACAAAAAGCACGGGGCCCTTATTGGTCCCTAACCAGAGAAAAATAGGCACATGACTTCATTGCTTTTCTATGCAGTCCGATTTTGCAAAACAGAAGTGCATTACATCAGAAACATGAGTGCAATCCATTTGTTCATCACAAAGTAATTAAACTAAATTTCATTACAAAGTAAAATACTCCTTCTTGGCATTTTATTTCAATGAAGTTTGTGTTTCTAACTGAAATTTCGATCTTATTAATGATTATTCATTTCTTTTTCAATGCTAATTAAGCTTTCCACTTTGTTAAAAGGGATTCTTGGCTCTTGCAAACAGGTTTTACGATCCCTAGAATACTATGAAGTGCTTTAATTCTCTTAGTCTGTATAAGACATAGCGTTATGCGATTTACGAACAATATCTTCAGTAGTGTAGCATTACAATTATACTATTTATTTTTCTATAAAAGATAATTGCATGATTGTTGATATTTAAATACAGAGAAAAATCAGAGAAGAAGCCAGTAAATGATTGTTGATAATTGCAATGCATGGCAGTTGACCGGACTGCAACAGTTGGTAGTTCTCAGCCACATGAAGGCAACTTGAGAGGAAGCAGCCCACCTCCATCAAATCCACAACAGGCAAATGAGCTGTTGAGTAATGAAACAATGAATGCAGCAACCAGTGGCACACGAAGCAGATTATTGGCCTTCATGAGCACATCTGGTTTTAGGCCACCAAGGCCTCCCTCAAGAAAATGACCTGCTGCTGTATATGACCTGGGAGTAGTGCATGAGCCAACTAAGAAGGGTTTATTATTATGTGACTGACTTTTTTTGAAAATTATGGCCATTATGTATTTGGAGGCCTTATTATGTCAATGTTTTTTTTGTAAATTCTGGCCATATTGTATTAGAGGCCTTTCTTTTAATTCCTGTCAGTTGGCTTTATTTTGTAATGCACTACTGTACATCCATGTCTTCAAATATAATGATACTCAAATCATGTTCCAGCTATTATGTTTCACAGGGTTTATGAATGTTTAAGTTTACCATTTTTGATGTTTTTTAACTAATATATGTAGTTGTAGTTCTTGTACATCATGTCTTCTGGTTTAACAAATTGGACTACATACAAATCCAATTTAATGTCATGTTCCTGTTTTGCAAAATTGGATTGCACTTCTGTTTCTGATGTAATGCACTTCTGTTTTGCAAAATTGGACTGCATAGAAAAGCAATGAAGTCATGTGCCTATTTTTCTCTGGTTAGGGACCAATAAGGGCCTCGTGCTTTTTGTCAGGGACTAAAAATGTCCTTGTGCATTTTGACAGGGACCAAAATGGCCCTCGTGATTTTGACAGGGACCAAAACGTCGTCGTCTCGTCTTCCACGGTGTCCCACATCCAAGCCGCGTCAGCAAACTAACGTGCCAACTGTGCACCGTTAGTTGGGTCGTTAGGTGAGAGTTAACAGAAGGATGAACATGGCCTCTTTTTTGTTATTTCAGGGACCAATCCTTTTTATTGCTAGGGACTGAAAAAGGCTTCGTGGATATTGCCAGGGACTAAAAAAGGTATTTACTCATATATATATATATATATATATATATATATATATATTAAGCATAATCTTTTGACATCGATGTAAAACTAAAAAGTTTAACACCAAATCATAACTGATGATTTCATGAATATAACAATTATAATTTATTGGATCACACATTAATTAATTATTATTTTCAATAAATTATAACCGTAAGATTGGAAAAAATCAACGATTAAAATTTGGTGTCAAAGGATAATGTCTATATATATATAGATATAGATATATATATATATATGTGTGTGTGTGTGGGAAAAATATTTCTCAAGCTGCTTGAGATAGGTTTATCTCCAGCCACCTCAAAACTACGTCGTTTTGTTTATTTATTTTCTTATATTAATTGATTCACCTTTGAATGGTTATGATTCTTTTTTTCTCTCTCTTCCTTTTTCACCATTGATCTATCTTTGTACGGTTATGATTTAGTAGCCGGAGATAACATTGTCTCAAGCAGCTTGAGAAGCGATAAGCTATATATATATATATATATATATATATATATATATATATATGAGTTAGGATCATGTTACACCAGTGTAAGTTACACTCTCAATCTTATCAATTGATTCCTTTTTATCAAATGGCTTAAATTTTTTAGTGATGTAAGCCATTGGATACAAGTGGATCAATGGTCAAGATTGAGTGTAAGACTTCTAATTCTTACACCGGTGTAAGAATATCCTGCCTATATATATATATATATATATATATAGGGTATGGATCAACTTAAATCAGTGTAAGAATAACAAATTTTGCACATCTTAACCATTGATTTCCGCGCATCTAACAACTAAGATTTATTAGGAATTAATAATTAATTAATTAATGATACCCAATAAATCTTATCCGCTAGATGCATGAAACTTAACGGTTAAGATTTGGAGTAAGATTTATTATTCTTACACCACATCTCAAGCGTTGATGGACGAAAATCATCGGTTAGTATTTGTATTGTAATTAATGATTAATTAATTCGTATGACTTCCTAAATTATAATTGTTGGATGCACGAAAATTAACGGTTAAGATGTGAGGTAAGACTTATTAGTCTTACACTGGTGAAAATCATTTGACACCGGTGCCAAACTTTGAAATTTGACACCAAATCCTAACCGTTGATTTTTGTCAATCAATAGTTATCATTTATTAGGAATCATACATATGAATTAATTATTAGAGTAAATACCATCTTCGATCCTCAGAAAATTTTACGATGCCCGCTTTAGTCCCTAGCAAATAAAAAGGCTATCCGTGGTCCCTAAGAAATTCAAAGTGGACTCATTTTAGTCCTTTTGAGGGACTAATATGGGTCTTTTTTGAATTTATGAGGGACCACGATTTCAACTAAATAGGTCCATTTTGAATTTCTTAGGGACCATAAATAGCCTTTTTATTTGCTAGAGACTAAAGCGGGCATCGTAAAATTTGCTGAGGACCAAAAAATGTATTTACCCTAATTATTAATTCCCAATAAATAATAACCATTGATTGGTGAAAATCAACTGTTAGGATTAGGTGTCAAATTTCAAAGTTTGACACTGATGTCAAAGAATTTTATCATATATATATAAGGCAGGATATTCTTACACTAGTGTAAGAGTTAGAAGTCTTACATTCAATATTGATCATTGATCCACTTGTATCCGATGGCTCACATTACTAAAAAATTAGAGCCCTTAGATATAAGTGTAATCAATGGTCAATACTAAGTGTAAAATGATCCTCACTATATATATAGGGTTTAAAGTTTCTAAAGTTACTTTAGATAATTTTATTTAATATTCACAAAAAATGTATACAAAAAACGTGTGGGGTCCATGTGGATCCATGTGAAGAGAAGAGAGAAAAAAAAAACATAAGCCCACATACTTTTTTTATTTTATTTTGGAATTAACCCAACCTTAATTACCTCTTTGAGGCCAGCTGACTCCCTTGGTATTCCCACAAGCTTCAACTCTTTGAGCCGGTTATGAAACTAATCTAAAGTATGAGGCGAATCAAGGATGAAGATATTTAAACCCTTCCCACAGGTGACGTGTGAGAATCAAACTGGGACCCTTTCCTTTCCATTTACTCAGCTCCCTTACTACCAACTGAGCTACCACCATTTGGTGACCCCACATAGTTTTATGTGTGTATTTTGATAAACATTAGATAAAGTTATCTAAAGTAAATGTAAAAATTTTAAACTTATATATATATATATATATATATATATATATATATATATATATATAGGATATTTATACTACCAATTTTTCTACTATCACTCTAATCCCCATTGAATTAGAAGTTGAACAAAGAGAGGGAAAAGAAAAACGACGTCTGAATCCATTGGTGATTAGAGTAATAGTAGAAAAATTAATAATATGAATATCCTACCTACCTATATATATATATATATATATATATATATATATTTAGGGTTTAATATATTTTTTTCTACCACAATCACATAAAATAAGTGAATCCCACTGACTTTTTCTCTCTCTTCTCTTTACAATAGAATCCACTCACTTTTATGTGTGGTGAAGAAAAAATTTCTATATTTTTTCCACACACATATAGCTCCGGAGCAGAATTCCAAAATAAGTGTTAGTTGGTGTATTAGAACTCGTAAAGCACCAATAATTCTTGTAGTGTATAATTGTATTTGTACCAATTTGAATCATGTTGTCCTTTGAAGGTTCACATAACAATATTTTGTATAAACTCAGTGACTGAAAATAATATTTCATCATATAGATTTCAAAACTTCTCCTAGGACTAGTCCCCATTGAGTCCAATGGGTGCCACCCTGCATTTGGAAAATAAAATTAAGATCATAATTAATAGCAAATCATAGGTAGTACTGTATGATACAAATGAATATACCTGGCAAAATACAGCAAATGGCTCTCTAAGAGGTCCATCACATGAAAGCTCACTAGTACTCCCATCAATGAAGGTTCCATCAGCAAAGATCACCTGAGATTGATAATAAATAGTTATTAATCCCTGTTAGGAAAGCAAAGTAATAAATATCTAAAACTTGGGAATGTCACATGATTTCGTGTAAGATGGTCTCATCCGTCTATAGACAAATCAAAATGAAAGAAAATGTTAGGATCGAGAGTAAGGAAAAGATAACCATCGATTTGTCTTTCGCCTCACATGACCTGATTATATTAAATGAGACATGAGTTGTGCGTAGACTGTGGAGATAAATCTAAACAAACCTCTGATGCATAACCAGGAGTGGTACCCGCAACAGGTTTGGTATATGAACCTACAGGAGAGCTTCTCTGAACAGCCTCACAGAAAGCAAGGAGACGCTCCCGGCTTCCAAGTTGTACAGCCTATTGGCATTGAAGATTAATTTTACCTTCTATCTGAATTATTATCGTCTCATGTATTGAAAGAGATTCCCATATTTCATTTAGAAAGAAAACAGAACAGATTCAGCAAGAAAACCTGAACCGTATCGTAACGGGGGACACGAGGGAGTGGCTGCACTTCATAGCCTTTGGATGCCAAAACTTCAGCAATCAGGAAGGAACCCTTACATAGAATACAGAAAGTCTCACTACCAGTTACAAGCAAGAAAAGCACAACATCTCCTATTGAAATGAAGATACCTTGATTGCTTCCCCAACCATTTGAGGTGAAAGAAATAATCCTTGGAAAAAGGCTCGCATTATATCACCTGGGGTCGAACCACAATCCACACCAAGCCCAGGTGCAGAAAGACGGGCTGCAGCTGCTTCAACCCATTTTTTTCTCCCAGCAACATATCCGCCACATGGTGCAATCGTTCCACCAGGATTCTTGATCAAACTGCCTGCAATCAAATCTGCACCCTGCCCAACAATGTACAATGTGATACTACACATCCATGGAATAAAGCAACAGAGAGTCATAGTGTCACATACCACCATGGGAGGTTCAATGCTTTCGACAAATTCACCATAGCAATTGTCCACCATGACCGAGCAGCTGGGATTTTGCATCTGAACATATATATTTGAGGGCATGTCATGGAGCAAAATACCATGGGTTAAAGGGTTACAAGAGAATATCACAGACAAATCAACTGCAAAGGTAATATATTCTACAATATACTTATAAAACTAGTAAATTCACTTTGGTATCTTTTTTTTCCGCCTTAACTGAAAAGACAGGTTCTGCATATGTACAAATTGATGAGAGACTACATCATGGAATGAAGGTTTCGTGGATAAAAAGTTACAGCAGAATTGCACAGACTAATCAACTATTAAGATAATATCATTTACTATGTACATAAAAACCTAACAATGAATCGAAGGAATCTCATTCCCTCCTGCATCTCTACATTCAAAATGAGGGTCCAAAGTGAAAATTCCGTGTCAGAAAAATTTTAGGACAGTTACAGACGGTAATAATATGCTGAAGTAATACCTTTAGGGTGCAAAATCCTAACACTAATGCCTTAAAAGCATCCTTCTCCTATTTGCCACTATTTTTTTTTTCTAGTATTTTGGGAAGGCTACAGCAGGAAAACGTCAGGTTTGTGTTAGTAGTTTCCAATAATTTTATCGGGAAAAAAAATTGCTAATCAAATGTAAAACTATTGGAATAATATCACTGGTTTAAATTAACAAAAGCATAGAAGTTAGAATAAAATCAATTTATTATTATAGAGCATTTTCAGTAGCAATCAAATATAGTTTCTATTATTCTAACATTTTAGACATAGGAAATTAAACAATAATTATTAAATAAACTATGACAGAATTCCAAGTTTTAACTCACATCAGTCAGGGTGGTTGCCTTGAATAATAATAACTGAAAAGCATAATGTTACAGTTCAAAGCAAAGAGCATAATTAAGAACCTTACTTTGATTATTTGTATTGCCCTTCCTATGTCATTAACACTCAAACTCTGACGCCATGAATAACCACATGACCTCTGTATGAGTGCACATTTCGTTCTAGGTTTGACAGCAATCATCAGTGCATTCCAGTCAAGTCCACCATCCTGAGCAAGCTGATCGAAAAATGTCAGAGAAGAGTCAGAAAGAAGACTAATGAACTACAGCCAGAAAAAATAGTGTTAAGTGATTACTAATTAGTAGCATACTGGAACTTCTCGGTAATTCACCCCAAAATCTTGAAGGGAACCCAGTCCACCAGAGTCCCTTTTCCCAATTACTTCCTCTAACGTGTCATAAGGAGCACCAGCAACTGCCAAAAGCTGACAGCTATATTAGTCTAGACCTTATTCTGGTTACAAATTCAACAGGAAAATATTTTATAATTAAGTAACCTGCTAGCATATAAAGAAAAGCATAAAATCTAATAATGTAAAAAGAATTATGTGTTACCTCATCCCCAGGCCTGAGGAGAGCAAATAAAGCACATGCGATAGCATGAGTACCTGAGAAGAACTGTTGACAGATGAGAACATTATAACTTCTATAATTGTCAACTTCAGTAAGAACCAAGAAGTGATTTATTAAATAGAACACAGAGAAAACTAAGAACCTGTGAACGAACAATAGCTGACTCAGCCCCAACAATTTCTGCAAAAGCCTGGTCAAGAGCCTCACGGCCCCCAGCTTCATCATGACCGTAACCAGTACAACCACCAAAGTGCTGATAGCAATGTGCATGTTAACATCCAATTAGAATCCCAAAATAAAGAAATTGTAACAAGAGTTTGACTGCCTGATTGCATCAACCACCAAGGGTTACAAACAAAATAGTAATTTACATCCAAAGTAAAGACATTAGGGACCAGGGATGGTACAACACATTCAAGCTCCTCACTGTCAAATTTAGGGGAAGTGTTTCCTTTCCTATTTCTTTGCTGAGTATCAATGTAAAGAACTTCAAAATTAGCATCTCAGGGATTACAATTCAATAATTATTGTTTGAATATATGAAAAATATCTCATGATCTTGATTGTATATTAGAGTAATTCAGAGGATCTTAAATTGTCTCTTAGGATTGGTTTCTATATATCTATATATTTCATGATTTGTTTCCTTATTTAATTAGGATTTGGAGTCTAATATTGGTACAAATAGGGATTAGTGCTTTGTATTTTGTACCGCATTAGAATACATCCTTCATATTAAATCAATATCAATTTCAAATTATGTAGTCTTTGTTCTCTCTTTTCTTTCTTCCCTACTTAAATCCCCATAATTCCAACGACTATGACTGTCTGTAGACTCTGTACATGAAAAAGCATTCTTTGCCACATTCAAGCTCCTAATATCGAATTTATGGGGTGTGTTTCCTTTCCTATTTCTTTAGTGTAATAAAATTAATTTTTTTTTTTTTATATCAGGAATTACAATTCAATAACTATGACTGTCTGTCAACTCTGTACCTGAAAAATCATCAATTCTAGTTTGAAAAATATCCTAAAGTTAGCTATTGGATGTACATGCAGACTCTCTGTTTGAGTTTTGATAGGCAGCTTCAGGTTCTCACTAGTCAAATATTAAGTTGTTGGGTTTCCTATTTTTGCTATGCTTTTGCACAAAATGCCAACAAATACGATGATATCAGAACCAGCCCAATGGCTTAAAAAAAAAAAAAAAACATATCTACCAATTCCATTCAAAACAGTGAACATTTACCAGCCTGAAACTCATGGGGAATCATAACAAATGATTATGAAACAAAGAATATTACAGTAAATTTGCAAACTGGTTATCTTAAATCAAAGGGCATGCTTACATGAGATCCAACTCGGGCATTCTGGAAAGCTTTAAGGACACGTGCGGTATTGCATGCAACCAAATTATCCACAGACCTGAACTCTAAATGCAAGGCATCCACTGCTTTCACAACCTGCACTGCAAGAAAAATAAACCATTACTGTACTTGCCAAATCCATAAGCTTTTTAAATCAGAATCAACAAAAACTAGAAGTAAAAGTAAAACTCCCTTACACTCTGAGTAGTTCACTGCTCTTAGCAAACAAAAATATCTTCTTTCCTTCCTCACAAACAAAGGGTGATTTTTTATTATTTATTTATTTATTTATTACAGTTTTCAGTGTCTTCCAAGCAGCCAAATGATGCAGTGACAAAATACGGTTCTGGGTTTCAATTTTTTTTTTTTTATAACAATTTTCACTGTTTTTCAAGCAACCAAATGGTGCTGTGAGAAAAAATGGTGCAGAATTTCACCAAAAAAAAAAAAAAAGTGGAAGTGAAAATGAAAATTATAACAGTATACCTCCGGAACGAAGGGGTTCGCAACGCCATGTTGAATGTTAGGAATTGAAACCCGAGAGGAAGAAATGGAAGCTCGAATAGGATGCGTAGGATAAGCAGAGATGGCGGACGATAAGGTGCACATTCTTCTTCCTTCCTTACCTTCCTCTGCTTTGCCTGTGCAATTTAATTGCGATTGCCGTAGGGTCGCGTACATGTCGTTTTCCTTATCTACCTGTCGTTTTTTATTCATTTATTATTATTATTATTATTATTAGGTTATATTTAGGGGAAAATATATGTTTTTTAAAAAAATATATAATTATATCATTTTAAGATAGAGAAATACATAATTTAATATTTTTTTTTTAAAAATTCAAATTTTAAAAAAATTATTCACTTTCTCTATCATAATTTCTATTGCTTTTATCTTTTTCTCATTTAAAATGACATAACTTCATATTCTCAAAAGGATTCGCTTTTTCTGCAGTTACTGCATATAAGTTATCTGCATTAAGCATAATACGATGTCATTTTGGGACAGAAATCATGGTGTTTTTGTAATTTTAATTTATTTCAGGATTATTATAGTCTTTATAATTGTAACTATTTAATTTTTCAATCCAAAATGATATCGTTTGGAGAGTACATGCAGATAACTTATATGCTGTAACTACAGAAATATTATTATGTTCTTTATAAGAACAAACATTAAACCTTTTATTTATAAACTAAATAATTTACATACTCTTATAATCAAATCTTAATCGTTGATTTCTCTCAATCTTACAATCATAATTTATTAAGAATTAATAATTAATTAGTAAGTATGATACAATAAATATAATCGTTAGAATAACGAAAATTAATAATTAAAATTTATTACAAAAAAGTTTCTAGATTATTTAGTTTGTAAATATTATTATTATTATTATTATATTTTATTTTAGTAAATTGGGTTCTGCGTATGCCCGAGCGGAGTATAAACTACTCATTAGAAATCTACTTCCAGTGCCTTTACATGTCGGTTCCTTAATAGTTTGCTCGTAAATAGCTTTTACAGTGATAACACTATAAAAGAATTAGGCTGTAACTAAACCTTTAAAATTAATACAATTAGAAATTAGTGAAATTCATGTGATATTAAGAACTCGCACAGTTAATTTAAGAATTTAAGTAATTAATTATGAGATTAATGATATAATTTCATAATTGACCCTATAATTATGAGAAGGCTTAAATAATTATAGTAAGTGATTAATAATGTTTTGAAAGTCGCTTTTCTGACGAAAAGTGCGGATACCGATTCTGCTCCACGGTATAAGTGCGTACCGATAAAGTATCCCAGAAAATTATAAAGAGTATGTATATAATCCTAGAATAATATTTAGGACTCGAATACAAAGTTTGAAGTCAAAATAATGAGAACTGACGTTAGGACTGATATCGGCTACGTAAAAGCGCGTACCGACAAAGTGCTGCGAAAAATATAATAAAAATATAAAAAATCCTAGAAAAATGGCTAGGTTCAGAATCCAAAGTTTGGGATTAGAATGATTAGCGCAACTATTATTGCTAATACCGACGCTTAAAACTTAATGAAGGTATAAATAGACACTTGCACAAATTTCTAGGTCAGAAATCATAAACCTTGTGTGAGTTTTCTGAGCTTCTTGAGGCAGTCACCTTCCTCCACCTTCTCCTCTCCATTGAAGCTCCAAGAGAGCACATTTCCTCTTACTTTCTTCACCAAAGTCCCTTGTATGAGTGTGCTCTAGCCTTGGGAGGTTGAAAGTCCAGCCATTTCTGAGTTGTGGGTTTGGTTGTGAGTGAGAGAGATACTGTCTTTGAGGTTGTGTGGTGTGGGAGCTGATGGGATGTAAATACGTTCTCATCTAAGCCCATTTTGATGGCAAAATACCATCCGTTCCCTCATCTGATGAGCAACTTCAGCATGAAAATCACTTGTTTTACACATTTGTGACAAAAACACAGTGGGGAAACGTATGATGACGTAATCCTTTGAAAACATATTAAAAAGGAAACGGATTAAGAGCATTTATTACACCTGCTGCACTCATTTAATGCTTCTGTCCATTTTGCAGGAAACGTGGAAACAACGTCTTCTAAAAGCAAAGGCGGTGCACCACTTAAGCACCAAGAAACGTGAAGAGCAGAGAATCAAGAGTTCTCATTAGCTAAGAAGAAAGCAAGGCACGGGGGACTGCAAGAAAACGACTAATCATCAACAAAAACTGTCCCATCAAGCAATTTGCAAGCTTCTAAACACTGTTGCCACTGCCCCGTCCCTTCATTCAAGAAACCAACTCCAAAAGATTTACAAGACTGCCACCCACTCTTCTACCTATAAATAGGACGGCCCAAATACAAAAATATCATCAAATTCTGGAAGGATTGAAGTCCTAAAAGAAGAGATCACCTAGTATTAGTTAGTAGTTTAATTTTGTATAGTTGTAACTATAGTTAAGTGACAACCCTTCTTCCTTGTTTTGTATCATCCCCTAAAGACTCCTCACGAGCATCAAACCATCTTCTCCATTTTATGTTGCGTTGTAAACCTTCTTGTTTCATTTTAATATAACCGTTACTTCTTTTCGTTCCATTCGTTATCTCTGAACTGAATCTCGGGTCTATGGGACTTCAGTTTAGAATAATTATGTTTAAAGTATCAGCCATGGGCTGAAGTATCTGTGGAACGGATAAGCTGCAAAACTCTTAGAGAATTATTTTGAAAACTCTTGACCGAAGTTTTTTGTATTTCTCTAGCTAAGTGAGCTATATTCATTGTGTATCAATGGAAATTGAACACATACTGAGAAAGGAACTTCCATAAGGAAGAGATTTCAGACAGCTTAGCCAGTGGGGGAAGATAGTGTTCTGGCAAAAACACTATTGGTCATCTTAGGAATAAGGGGCCACTTCGTCAATTTTAAGGTTCTGTACTGAGTACCTGTTGGAGTCAAGGGAGCCATCTAGTCCATGAGCTGAGGAATCAGAGTTGGTAGATAAGAAACTGGGACAAAGCCAAAAAGTGCTAAGTCTTGAGCAGAGGAAATAACTATTTAAGAATGGAGTAGTAAATCCATTCCTTCTGTTAAACTGTTTTAAAAACATCCACCTTGTTGTCTCTTGATTATAGTTATAACTGCTTTGTTATTTTTACTTTGTTCAATCTTATATCTATCAAACTCCAATGGCTATTATCACACCTTCTCTTAAAAAGGAAGGATCACATATATAACGCAGCGAGTAATTGTTTGCCATCAGATTAAACTTACTGTTCCTGAGGAACGTTGTCAAGACAGTAAGGAACGTCTGACCAGACAGTTCAACAACTAACTTTTCTTCTCATTTTCATTCTTTATAAAATAGTTTAAGACATTATTTAGAGTTCTATCCTCGTGGGAACGATAATCTGGGCCTTAATACACCCATTATTACTTGATGCGTGCACTTGGGTTGGAAGTAAGGGAACAACTCTGTTTTCCATTGCTAAATTAGAACAGAGGAACGTCCCCTATCAGAATACATATTTTTTCCACCATCAGCAAACCACCTAACAGGAGCCATCTCGATGCCATTTGAAGCTTCAAGGTGTCATTTTGGTTGAGAAAGGACCAAGCTTTGGTCACCATTTCATGGCTTGTGTAATCTGAATTCTTGGGTCAGATTGGAGAGCTCCAAGAGCATATCTTTCTGCTGTTTTTGAGACCCCATAAGTATACCTTGATCACTCCTTTGAATTTTCATGATTTTGGCTTGTTTAAGTCATTAAAAGAGGGAACTTTAATGATTTAAGCTAAAAGTTGTTAATCTAGGATTAATAAGTGATAATGAACATCTGTTTTGGGACAAAACCGAACCTTGGATCATTGGGAGCCTTTACCACTTCGAATTATGCAGAAAAATTCTCCAAAAATCTGTTCTACCCGTGTGGTAATCAATTACTTTCCGTTGGTAATTGATTACCATGTGCAGTAATCGATTATCCTGTTTTTGGTAATCGATTACCCACTGTCAAAATGACCATAAACCAGTTTTAATGTGTGGGAAGTCCCCATTTGGGCATGATTCCCTAGGAAGTCTGTGTTACTATTGAGAAACAATAATACCTTTAATTGTGGGGCTTAATGCTTGATAATTATGAAATAGAAAAGATGCAAATGAAAAAGGAAACGTTATCGTAATGTAATTAACTTCTAGAATTGGAATGTTGATAATGTTTCTATTATTAAACAGACCGTGAGTGGGCTGTTTGGTGACTGTGGGCTGTTGTGGACTCTTGGTTTGGACGAATAGCTTGAGAGGTAAGCTTTCGTGTCCTCGGTTTTGCCATTGTTTGGTTCCACCATACCTCATGGAGGGATGGTTATATGCATGATGTGTTTTCATGTATTGAGATTGAAATGCTATTGAGCTGTTAAGTGCAAATGCCTTATGATATGTATATGTTGTTCCACCTAGGCGGTAAGCCTGAGTATGTAGTGTCATACAATACAGTGATTCTGTGGGTGGGTGCAAGTAGCGTCTTGCACTGATAGTGGGTTGTAGACGTATGTAATTCCTGCATGTTCATCTGGCCAGTAGGATTTTGACACACATGGCATGATTATATGCTGCATGGCACAGATTTGGAACTTATACTATTTTACTGTTTTAGAACTTATATTGCACATATAAGTGAGCTTGAGGTGGAGAGATCCTTGAGGGCCCCTTGTCTTACTGAGATTTCTTTTTAGAGATCTCAGCCCACGTTTGGGGCACTTTTTCAGGTTCAGGCACCTTGGGGACTGATACCCCGGGCGGCAGGAGGCCGAGGCTTTGTTGACTGTTGTATGCCTGCTTATGCTGATATGCTTGGATGCTGTTTATGATTATTGTCTTTATATTGTTATCTGAGCTGAGACTTTGTTGGGCTTTGTTGCCTTATTTGGTGAGCATGGAGATTGTCCATGCCACATTGATGTTTGCTATGTTTATAGCTTGAGTTGTATAAATTATCAGGATAATGTCCGGTCTACGTGTTGTAGTCCCGTGACTAGAAACACAGTTATATATGAGGTATTTCAGTTAGATGTTTTAATTGCAATTTACATACATGCAATGTTTTGAAAAAGGATTAAGTAATCAACTTGGTAATAATAATGACATCATAATTGAAAAGAACAAGTTAGTTCTGCAATTTTAATTAAGCGCAGCTTAATACAATGACATGATAACAAACCGGGTATACACGGGGTGTTACAAGAAACGGCTTCAAAATAGAGTTATTCTCATTATCAAGATTCAATGGAAAGGATTGACACCTAAGGACGCCACATGGAAGTGAAAGGATGATATTCTCCGGCGATATCCTAATTTTGATATCGGGTATGATCTGATTTTGAGGACAAAATATTTTTAAAAGGTGTGGTGAATTTAATAACCCTAATTATTTGACTTTTAAATTAGAGGGCTATAATGAGGACCTTATGGTCATAAATGGAATGGGGATTAAATTCTAAGAATTTTGATACCAGTATTGAGGGTATTCTACACAGATGAATTTTCATCTGTTAAATTTGACTGCTGACGTAATAATAGTTAGTAGAATAGCTCCAAGTTAGCAAATTATAGTTAGAGAGCTAATCCAATGATATAAACATCATGAATGAGGTTAGGATATGATTTGATGAAGATTGATACCCATATTGGGATATTTTTGAAAAGCCTCTTCAGCCGGGTATTTTGTTAAAGTAGAATCCCGGAACGGAAAAAAGATGAGAAAATGGAAATAAAGACCAATATATGCCTAACAAGTCATAATTAGACCAAAAATGTTAAAGTTAAAAAGATTATGAAATCCAAGGACAGTTAAGAACACCGGTAAAGACTACAGTGTAATTAAACAACTATTAGTGTTATGAACATGATAATTAGACAAAATTAATGTTAAGTACTTAAAGTTAGCATCTTGGGAGTTTTCGGGTAAAAATTTGACGACGGTTCAGTTAAAAATTACACCGGGTCTCACTAGAGGAGGAATGGTCACTTAGTGACATGGTACCCCTCATTAGGGCACCACCCCCTCCATTTATGGTTAGAATGTGCAGTGCCCCTTCCCCTTCTTCTCTCTAAATTTCAAATTTTGAAAACTCTCTCACTTCTCTATAAGATTTCTTCACCTAAATCTCTCTAAACCACCAAACTTCCTTCACAAAGATTGTTCCCCTCACTCTCCTCTTCACAACCATACCATTTTCATGGTGTGAATCAAAAATTTTGTGTCCCTCACCACCACATACAGCCACGGTTTTGTGAAGAATGATGGCCATGAAGTTGTGTTTTTAAACTCTCTTGAAGAACCACACCTGTGTGCTTGGTTCCTTTGATTTTGCGTAAGTTCTCTTGGTTATTTCATGAAAAATCTCATTTTTCCTCTTGTGTTCTTGAGCCTAATTCATGAGCATGTTCATGAATGTGTGGTCTTACTTAAAGGAGGGTTCTTGGTGGAAAAAAGTGGAGCCTTGGAGCTAAAGGAGGGAGCTTGAAGATGTAAGCTTCTATTTGAGCAAAATAACTCAAAAAGCCTTCCCTTTTTGCTTATGAGTGCCACGGTTTTGAGATGTTCTTAAGGGAATATTGTTTTAAAAAAATTTATGTCATGGTTTGATGATGATCCTTAAGGGTGTGTGTGTTTTGAACCATGGAATGATGGATTGGATGACTAAAGGTGCCACCTTTGGACCTTTGAGTGATGTTCATGTAAAAAGATTACCATGAACCCTAAAATGGTCTATGATGATTCGGCCATGTCATGTATGGTTAGAGTTTGATGACAATAAAATGTGATTAAATTGTTAAGTGTGGAAAAATGATGAGAAAGAGTAACTAGGTGAGTTGTCTCTAAGTAAAACTCACTAATCTTGATTAAGGATGGTTAAAAACCCAAATTAACATAACTAATCAAATCTTCACCTTAAGTATATGAGGGTTTAGTTGTGTTAAAAATAAGAAAATGATGAATTAGTGGATTAATTAAGGGTAGAAATTAATTAGCTAAAGAAATGATTAAGAAATAAGCTTAAAACCCTAATTAGCACACTAATAATTCGGCCATGTATGCTTAAGATAGGGTCACTATGTTAAAATTAATATTAAGACCTAATTAGGACATTAATTTAGTGGTTAAGTGAAGTAGATTATGCATAATACACTAATTAATGATTAAACTCTAAAATTAGACTTAAGTAAGGTTTAGGTGCACTAATCAAGCAATTAGTGAACTTTAAATATCATGACATAATGTGACTAAGGAGACTTCATAAAGTGACTTAATAATAGAAAAATCCAAGAATTAAAGTGAATTAGGATTTATAATCAAAAGTAATTAAGGTTTGTTAAGTAAACACATTTAGGGCTGAATAGCCAGCTTTTAGGCAAAATTGGGGAGAGCATATCTCCCTCGACAGAGGTCATATAGGGTTGTGCCTTATTTCATTTTGAAGCTTGAAATGTTAGCTACGTGGTGTCAAAATTTGGTACTAATTGATGATGTATAGCATTTTGTATGTTCATTTGAGTGAGAAATGCCCTGGGAGGCCATGTGCAGGGGCTGTACATGGTTGCAACTTCCATGAATTTTTTCTCCCTCTGTTCTTACTCAAATTAGACTTATAATATGTCTAATTAAAGCTAAAGGTTTCTAGTTGTCTGCATACATATTTTAGAGTAAGTGGTTTAGTAGATTTTCCAGAATCGCAGAAATGGTAAAGGATGTTTAGGGCTCTGTTCGGAGTTGGCAAACAGCTTTGCTTGTCCAACTTCAAATGGTGATAACCAGAGCTAGAAAGCTCCAAATGAGGCATGTGATACCTTGTTTGAAGGTAATTGAGTCTAGATTAACATAATAAAAGATGAGAATTTTATAACAAGTGAGTTGTGATCAGTGACTAGAAAACAGACGCATGTACAGTTATGGAAAAACCGTAAAAGTGATATTTAAGCTAAGTGGGATTATGAGAACCCTTAGTAACATATAATAATCATATATATGGCTTGCACGGTATTTTATGGTATTAGAGCAGTTTTGTAGGAAAACTTGTGGACTATTGATATATATATATATATATATATATATATATATATATATATATATATATATATATATATATATATATGCTTGGTGTTTAATGCTTTATAGTTGTTTTGGTACTCTTTATGATTATTGCATTTGTGATCACTGAGTGTGAGCCTGATCAACTCATTTCTTTGTGTAACATGTGTAGTGTCATGACGAGGAACCGGAATAACCCTGGACCATCGAATACCAATGCTCAGGAAGAACCTGTTTTGGCTGCTCTAGTTAGGCCCCGAGGTGGTCGTGGGGCAACCGACGGGCAGTCGGATCCCGTGGCTGAAACACTTGCAGCCGTGCAAAGGGAATTGGCTGCTAGTCGGCAAGCCAATGAAAATCTGAGGAAAACAAATGAAGACTCGCGGAATGCTATGGCCGCGATGATGAACGAGTTGAGGACGTTGAGGGGTGCTAGACATGAGAACCGGCAACCCACTCCTCCTCCTCACACTGCCACGCCTTCTCCACCTCTTTTACATGAAGAGGGTGTAGTGGGTAACAATGAGGGTGAGGCCAATCACCATTCTGGAAGTCATAGTCATCACACCGAGGTTCGTCAACCACGTGTTGAGCATGTTGATGAACACGAAGCTGAAGAAAGAAGATTGACAGCTTTTCGAAAACACAAACCTCCTTCTTTTAAAGGAGGCTATGACCCAACGGCGACAGCAAAATGGCTCCAGGCTATGGAGAAGATCTTCAGGGTGATAAGATGCCCTGATGCAATGAAGTTGGTTTATTCCGTGTATATGCTAGAAGAGGAAGCTGAGGATTGGTGGACTAATACCGTGCATCCCTTAGAAGCTGAAGGCCGGGAAATCACCTGGCGGTTGTTTGAGACGTTGTTCTTGGATAACTACTTCCCTAGGAAGGCTAGGGAGCAAAAGCAGAATGAGTACAACGATCTAAAGCAAGGGTCGATGTCAATTGACCAATACTTTGCTAAATTCAACGAGTTGGTGAAATACGCCAACTATGGGCGAGCCCTACCTACTTCAGCTGAGATGACCTCCAAGTTTCAATGGGGTCTGAATGAGAAGATGTCTCGGAAGATGTCAAATTGTGACATCCGAGAGTTTAGCAGATTTATGAATCAGTGCCGAAAGGTAAAAGAAGTATACAATGTGTCCAAGACCAAGAAGCCTTCTGAGACCCAAGCACCGAATGCCAATAGAGCAACGGGCTCAAATTATTGGAAGGACAAGAAGATGAAGGGTAAAAAGATGAATGTGAACAATCCGTTTAACTTGTTCAAAAAGCCTGGAACTCAAAAGAATTTTGTTGATAGAGGCCCTCTTCCCAAGTGTAAAGGGTGTGGAAAAGAACATAGAGGTCCGTGTGCTACGGGTGAAGTTATTTGCTATAAGTGCGGAAGAGCCGATCACTACTCTAGACAGTGTCCTCAGAATGAAGTGAGGACTATGGCAGTTCAAGCTACTGCTGTTCCTGTCTCAGTTGTTCCACCTTTGATGGAGTCACAGACGGTTGGTAGAATATACACCATGGACTGTCAACAATCCGAAAAGGCTCCAAACCTTGTGAAAGGTATAATTTATATTGATAATATAGATATTGAAGTCTTGTTTGACTCAGGAGCTACACACTCCTGTATGTATGATTTTATGGACGTTGGGCTAAATTTACAAATGTACGACATTTCTCCTCCAATGAAAGTGGTGACTGCTACTGGAGAAGAGTGTTATACATCAGTTTTATGTAAGGATGTTGGATTTAAATACGAAGGCCGAGATTATGTGCTGGATTTTATCTGTTTTCCTATGATCAGTCTTCAAGTTATCTTGGGAATGGACTGGTTATCGAAGAACTGTGCTATGATAGACTGCTGTGGAAAAAGATTGTGCTTTCTGCTGATGATTCTGCTACTAGTTCTTCCCCATATCTATCTGTGTTACAAGTTAGAAAGGCTTTGAGGGCCGGGGCATTGGGATATGTCTTTGTAGGGGGTTTAGTGGGCGGAAGTCATGAGGAGATCGACAATATTCCTGTGGTGAAGGAGTTTTTGGATGTGTTTCCGGATGAGATTCTGCAACTTCCACCTCATAGAGAGATTGAGTTCACAATCGATTTGTTGCCTGGTGTGGGGCCTATTTCTTTGGCTCCATATCGGATGTCACCATCGGAATTAGCCGAGTTAAAGAAGCATATTGAGGAGCTTTCGGCTAAGCAGTTTATCAGGCCAAGTGTGTCCCCGTGGGGAGCACCAGTTATATTTGTCAAGAAGAAGGACGGTAGCATGAGATTGTGCACTGATTACCGTCAGTTGAATAAGGTTACCATAAAAAACAAGTATCCTCTCCCTCGCATAGATGATTTGCTTGATCAGTTGAGGGGTGCTTGTGTCTTTTCGAAAATTGATTTGAGGTCGGGTTATCATCATATCCGAATTAGGCAGGAAGATATTCCAAAAACTGCTTTTCGATCTAGATATGGACATTATGAGTACCAGGTAATTCCATTTGGACTCACTAATGCTCCGGCAGTGTTTATGGATTATATGAATCGCATTTTCAAGCCGTTTCTGGATCAATTCGTGATTGTGTTTATTGATGATATCCTGATATATTCCAAGAGTAAGGAAGAGCATGCAAATCACTTGAGAACTGTGTTGCAAATTCTTAGAGAGAAACAGTTGTATGCAAAGCCTTCTAAATGTGAATTTTGGCTTTCTCAAGTGCAATTTCTGGGTCACGTTATTTCTGCTGATGGAGTGGCGGTTGATCCTAACAAGATAGAGGCAGTTATTGATTGGGAGAGACCCAAGACTGTAACTGAAGTAAGGAGTTTTCTGGGTTTGGCCAGTTATTACCGGAGATTCATTAAAGGATTTTCGGAAATGGTTCTGCCATTGACCCGTTTGACCCGGAAGGATACTCCATTTATTTGGACGCAGGAATGTGAAAAATGCTTTCAGAATCTTAAGGAGAAATTGACGACTGCTCCAGTGTTAGTACTTCCTGATCCGGAAGGTGAATTTGAACTATACAACGATGCTTCTAAAAAGGGATTGGGATGCGTGCTGATGCAGGATAGGCGAGTAGTAGCGTATGCATCAAGGCAATTGAAACCGCATGAAGAAAATTATCCGACCCATGACCTAGAGCTTGCTGCAATCGTTTTCAGATTGAAACAGTGGAGGCACTTCTTGTATGGAATGAGGTTCGCCATATTAAGCGATCACAAGAGTTTGAAGTACTTATTTGATCAAAAGGAATTGAATATGAGACAACGACGGTGGACTGAGTTCCTAAAGGATTACGATTTTGAATTGAAATATCATCCTGACAAGGCTAATGTTGTAGCTGATGCATTGAGCCGAAAATCTGTGAGCTTAGCAAGCATGATGATGAGAGACTTTGATGTGATTGAAAGATTCAGAGATATGAAATTGTCTGAAGTCTTTCCAGGCATAATTTGTGACATAGAAATTACAAGAGTCGAAAACGAAATGATGACCAAAATTAAAGAAGCCCAACTGCAAAATGAAAGTGCTAAGCGACTGAAGGGTCAGAGTGGTGTATCCTGCAATGATAAGGGTATACTATTATATCAGGGTCGTATTGTTGTACCTAGACAGTTGGCGGAGGAAGTAATGACGGAGGCCCATAAGGGTCAATTTACTGTCCATCCGAAAGCTACAAAGATGTATCAGGATCTAAAGATTAATTTCTGGTGGCTTGATATGAAAAAACACATTGCCGAATTTGTCTCTAAGTGTCTCATTTGTCAGAAGGTCAAGATTAAGCATCAAAAGCCTTCTGGTATGTTGCAACCTCTGGATGTTCCTGAATGAAAATGGGAGAGTATCTCCATGGATTTCGTAGTGGGTTTGCTGCGAACACAGGCTAGTTATGATTGTATATGGGTGATTGTGGATAGATTGACAAAATCCGCACACTTTTTGCCAGTACGGGTAGACTTCTCTGCTGAGAGATTAGCTAGGCTCTATGTGAAGGAGATTGTGAGGCTTCATGGGGTGCCTGAGAGCATTGTTAGTGATCGGGACCCGAAGTTCACTTCTCGCTTTTGGGGAGCATTACAGGAGGCTCTTGGCACTCAGTTGAAACTGAGCACTGCTTATCACCCACAGACGGATGGTCAGACTGAGAGGACCATTCAGACGTTGGAGGATATGCTGAGAGCTTGTACTCTGGAGCAGGGTACTGCATGGGATCGATATCTCCCGCTGGTCGAGTTTTCGTATAATAATAGTTTTCATACTAGTCTGGGTATGGCCCCCTACGAGGCCTTGTATGGTCGCAGGTGTAGGACATCTACTTGTTGGTCAGAGGTTGGGGACACTGAGCGATTTGGATTGGATTTTGTTCAGGAGACTACTGAGCAGATCAAAATGATTAGGGATCGTCTGAAAAAGGCTCAGGATCGTCAGAAAAGTTATTATGATCTCAAGCATCGGCCTCTAGAGTTTGAAGAGGGAGATTATGTATTTTTAAAGCTGTCACCGGTTACGGGTGTTGGGCGAGCCCTTGGAGTGAGGAAGCTGAGTCCGAGATTTATTGGACCCTACCAGATTCTTCGTAGGGTAGGCCCGGTTGCCTACCAGTTTGCCTTACCTCCTCAATTATCCAATTTGCACGATGTATTCCATGTTTCTCAGCTGAGGAGATATGTAGCTGATCCTTCTCATGTGGTTCAACCTGATGATGTTGAGATCCGGGAGAATTTGAGAACTCCAATTGGGCCACTGAAAATACTCAAAAGAGATGAGAAGAGGCTGAGGATTAAATCTATTCCTATGGTGAAAGTTCAATGGGAAGGAAGGACCTCTGAAGAGTCCACTTGGGAGCGGGAGGACGAGCTTCTCCGGAAATATCCTGAGTTCAAGAACATGTATGTTCTTGATTTTGCGGACAAAATCCTAAAAATGTGGGGTGACTATAATATCCCTAGCCTAATTAATTAGTAAATTACATGTAATTAAATAATTAAGCATGTATTATTGAGTAAAATTAAGTATAAGACTTAATCAAATGAATTGGAGTCACTTTGGAGGTAAAAAGTGTACTCAGTGAAAATTAAGGGGTATTAATGGGTGCAGGCAAAAGTACCCAAAATATAAAAATGGAAGTGGAAATATTCCTAGAAAAATATTCCAGACACTTGGGTAAAGTTTGGTAATTAATGGAGTTAAATAGATAGATGAGTCGATACCCGCTCAAAACCACTTAACATATGTTAAGTGACCCAAGCAACAATAGAACCCATTATTTTCCCCCATTCCCGTCGAGCTACACACAGAGGAAGAAAATAAGAGAGAAAGGAAGGGAGAAGGAAAATCCAAAGACCCATCATTCCTCAACCAAATTGGATGATTCCAAAGCCTAACCTACTCCAAATCTTCCCCTCTTCCATAATCAAGGCTTAGTTTTGAGTGGGAGTCTTTGGGGAGAGAGATATTATCCCTAAAAAATTCACCCCTTTTGTGAAAGTGTGGGGTTTTGGGAGCTTCTACCTCCATGGAAGCTTGAGGGCAACAAATCCTTGAAGTGTGATCCATTGTGGTGAGTTTTCCACTCTCTTTCACACAAAGTTCTTAAGTTTTGCATGATTTAGGTTTTGGATGAATAGTGTTTTAGGGTTTGTGATTATGAGAGTATATTGGCTATGTTCTAGGTGGATTGAGACTTAGTACATGTTATGAAAAATGCTAGGAATGACGTTTAATCGGTAGAAATGAACTTATTTAGCTATTTGATTATGCTTTGAAAATTTCTAGGTTGTATACTTAGTTTGTGGATTTTCTTGCAATTGTGATAAATGGTTGGTTTGATTAGATATTGATTGTGTCCATATGATGCCTAGGAGTGAGGCATTTGGACCAACCTTGAGTGACCAACCATTGGAGCAAGCGATGGAGCTCGATTAGCTCCTTGGAATTGGTGTTGGTTTTGGAGAAGAGTATTGTTGAGATTGGTGAAGAACAAAGGGTGAATTGGAAGCTTGAGGTAAGCCTTCGGACCTTGGGTGTAATTCCCTTGATTGTTCCACCAAGCCCTGATTGGGTAGTGGTTGTGATAGTGTATATAAATGCAAGGAAATAGTTTAATGCTTTGTTATACGTATGTGTATGCTTTGGTGTGGCATAGGATGGTGTTTCCCTATGTTGGTATGTTGCATGACGATGCGTAATTCATACTTGGTAGTTTAGCTAGTCAGTAGGACTATTTGCATCTGAGTATCCTTAGGACAGCTTGAGAGCTCGAGGGATTTCTCCTGGAGATGTTTGTTTACACACTGCATGGATATGTATTTATTGCATTATTATTGTTATTGCTATTACACTGTTATTGAACTATGGGGTGGAGAGATGATCCAAGGACCCCTGGTTTACTGTGATATATTCATATATCTCACCCCGTGTTGTGGGGACCCCCTTTCAGGAAAGGATGCTGCAGGAGCCTCTGGTGGCAAGTGGCCATATTTGGATTATACATGACATGTAGTAATACTATGTATAGGATTTACAATAGAAAGCTAATTGCTATATGTATGTCATGTTTTATTTGGGTGGACTTAGCCTATGCTCATCTCCTTTGGTATCTCTTTTGTTGATGGGAGCCAAGGAGTTCATCATAGTGTTTTGTAGCTAAGTCCCATGAATTGTAATTAAGACGTATTGTAATGTTGTAATTAATGGAGATATATGTATGAGGAAACGTTATGCATGCTTCTCTTAGGGTATGAGTACTTTGAAAGACTAGAATTCATGTATTGAAAGAATTATATGATTGTCAATTAGGTGAAAGAAGACCTTTAGATTGAAAATCCAAGTAAAAGTAAAGATATCTCGTCTTGTTGTCCAATTTTAGTATCCTATATGATAGATTTTGACCCTTGTGTCTTAATGGAAGTGGTAGATCTTTTTCTTAGCTTTCCATTGAGACCAAGATTGTGTAATTTGGATGTGTACAACTTTAGTTAAGGTTAAAACACTAAAGCTTGGTGTTGTCCCCAGAAATCTGGCGCTACTAGCGCCGTGTTGGCGCTAGCCGCGCCAAGGGACAGAGAGGGAACGTATTCCCGGCGTTAATCGCGCCAATCCGGCGCTAACCGTGCCAAATACAGGGAAACACTCTGTTGTTTCACGCTAATCGCGCCATTTTCACGCTAATCGCACCGGAAACAGTATGTTCAACACTCGTTACGTAGAAAGTTCATAACTTGGGCTATGGTGCTCCGAATTGAGCGCGGTTTGAACCCACGCGTAACTAATGAAATATCCTATAATATGTTGAACAAATGGAGACCATAAGAGTAGAATAAGAATTTCTTAAATAAATAAAGGGTGGATGCGTTTAGATTCTAAAAGCAATAAAAGTGAGACCTACAGTAATAATTCCACATGTAGTTAAGTTACATTCACCTTATGGGAATTGTTTTAAGTATGGAATTGATTTAATCAAAAGCGTTTATAAATAAAAAGGAAAATTTTTTATCCGTATTTTAATTCAATTTGGTGTTTGTAACCGCGTTTAATGTCGTACGTAATGATAACAAACCGGTTCTAGAACGGGGTGTTACATATGTGATACCTTATTTGAAAGGTAATTGAGTCTAGATTAACATAATAAAAGATGAGAATTTTATAACAAGTGAGTTGCGATCAGTGACTAGAAAACAGACGCATGTACAGTTATGGGAAAACCGTAAAAGTGATATTTAAGCTAAGTGGGCTTATGGGAACCCTTAGTAAGTTATAATAATCATATATATGGCTTGGATGATTTGAAAATAATCTAAGTTACCTAAGTGAGCCTTGCATGTGATTCTAAGCTATGTAAGTAATTAAAGAATAAGGTGGCTTGTAATAATGCACTAAAATATGTAATAAGTAATAATTGGTCTAGACTTGTAATAGACATATTATTGGCATGAGTATGAAAAGTGGAATCATTAAATGATTAAGTCGTGGATATGAATTGATTAATTAATATATAATTAATGATGTGAATTGTTCCTACTCTAGGTGTGCCTAGAGAACCGTGCACTTGAAGATTGTGTTGGAGCATACGTATTACATTGGAGTGTGGGCTTGTGCTAAGCTCCCTGAGGTAAGCTCCTAGTTTTGGTTGCTCCTCTCTCTTGCGGCCACACCATGATGGGGGGCATTATGGTCGAATTGTATGAAAGTATGTGGTATATTGTATATGTGCATTCATTCACATTCATATAGATGTTATATGATTCTGGATGTTGTGATGATGCACTGATGATATATGTTATGAGGATCCTGGCCAGTGAGCATGGTATGTAGGCTGCCTATGACTTGACTCCGGGAGCTATTTCATACTGAGGTTGTGTTGACTGTCTATGGCTTGACCCTGGAAGTCACACAGGTGTAACCGTCTATGGCTTTGACCCTGGGGTTACACAAGGATGATATGATGATGCTATGTTTTGTTGTATATTTGTATTATATGTTTTATATCTGACATGTCATGCAGGAAGTGGGCTCAAGGGATTAGAGGATCTTCTATGAACCTTGAGCTTACTGAGATGTTGTTATCTCACCCCGTTTGGAGACATCATTTCAGGTACCCAGAGCAGTGGTGATGCTTCTAGGGGCAAGGCCCCTCGCATTGGAGTAGTTGATGATGCAGCTGATATTTTATATTATGTTTAGACTTATGACGGCATGTAGAATTGTTAACATGCTTAATTATTGTATTGAGATTATGTTATGGATTTATTTAGGCTCATGATTGTATCCTTAGAGCCATGGATGATTTACTGATGTTACGTTTTCGGATTAATATAGACTTGATGTAAGCATTCAGTTAATTTGGGCATAAAGCCTTATTATTTGTATTGATCCATTGAGGGGATTGCAGTCCGTGTGGGACTTGCAAGCTATCTGTTTAAATTATTGTATAAATCAGGTTAATTGTATGCGTGAGACCATGTTCCCAGTTATCCGAAATACAGCCGTTATGCTGTCCGTGAGACTCCGTCAGGAATGACACTTGATGTTATATCTTGATGGTCAATGGCCACTAATACTGGCTAATGGGATTAATGAGTAGATGTATGTTATAGGTTTACGCTTACGCAGTATCGCACGTGAACGTTTTTTTTGAAATGTTTCATAAAATGTTTTGAAAAAAGTTTACTCGTATTTTTATAAGACTCTTTATTTCTTTTTCAAATAAAGTCTTCCGCTGTGTATGCTAAATATCATGTATGTTAACAACCAGAGTACTACGGGGTGTTACAAATCTTACCCCTTTAATCAACATTATCACATATAGGGGTGTTAACGAGCCGAGCCGAGCTTTGGTCTTAACGGGCCGAGCCTGTGTTCAAATGTGTCAGACTGACCTTAGCCTGTTACCTGTTACGAATATAATATCATCCTGTGGACTGGCTCATTTACAAAAAATAAAAGCCTTGTTTAGCCTGTTTAAAAAATATAAGACAACAAAAATTTATCCAAACAAAATATACAATCAACAACACTAGTAATTCCATAAATATTCATAAATTCAATGTATATCCAAATAGCATAATATAAAATAAAATAATTTAAAAATTCTGTTTAATTAATAAAATGGAATGAAATGAATTGAGAAGAGAGAGAGGGCTATCACAAGTAGTATAAAAAATAAAAAATAAAATAAAAAAAATATATTAGGCAAGCCTAAGAGGCTCTAAGGCCGAGCTTTTGAATTGGAGCATGAGGCCTTTTTATTAAACGAGCTTTTATACAAGTCCAAGCCTGGGTCCAACAATCAATATTAGACATGTAAGCTCAGGCCTTCACGAGCCGAGCCAAAGGCCCCTGGCTTGTTTAGCACCCCTAATCACATATAATTATATATTTAGAAATATGAGGTGTTATACATGATACTTAGAAGGTCTTCATTGATGTGTTACAATTCATGTAGGAATTAAGTTTTAATTTTCTCGTAAGATTGACCTATTTATTTTTAGAATAAATAAATATAATTTTACATAAGTTGGAGGTAGTTACATGAAACATGTTTGGTTTTGTTTAAATTTTATACTGATAATCTTTTCACGAAAAAAATATTCTCTTTAACATTTTGATAAATATTTTAAATATAAAATAATTAATTGGAATAAACACTTAATATGCAATCTTAAGACAATCCATAAAACAAATTAATCATAATTAATATAAAATCTAATTTAAAAATACTCTTACTATAGGAGAAAAAATACATTTATGATAAAATATATACTTCTTCATTATTTTTATAATGATTTTTCTTTATATGGGTCAACATCTCATTAAGTATAGGGTGGCCACGTCTAGGGTTCACACAAAGTGCGTTGCACTGGGGCGAAACTCGTGATTCAAATATTTAATATTCTTCTAACACTTGTACTTTTTGCTATGGAAACAACTAAATGCTTTTCCTGAGGATATTATTTTTACCTTTAAAAATTCATTTAAAAAATGATTATTAATTCAATTTTCATTTAAAATGATCTCATCCTTTTCTTTAGCTGTATCCTCAATTCTAAAGAAACGAAATCCCTAAAACAAATACAGAGAGAAATGAAAGCAGCAGTAAGAGCAAATGCAGAGAAAGGAATCAAAAAAGTGAAACAAGGTAAGTTCAATTTTCTTGAAAACAAATCCCTCTCTCCAAATGTTTTAGTTTTACACAATTTCAAGTGAAGGTTGAATGCATTGCATGTGAAAGATTTGTTGTTGTTTTTTTTTTTTTTAACAAATCCATAGTTATAATTTGAAGTGCATTTTATTTGATTTCTTCAAATCTGCAAATTATCAATGTTCTTATTGATGATTCTTTTAATTAATTTATGTTCATTTGGTTGAGTATGGATGAAAAATATATATTTTATATTTTTTTGTGATACAACAACCACGAGTCCATATTAAACCTTGACTAGCAATGTTGGGGAAGGGTAATCCTTGTATGCAACTTTACCTTTACTTAATTGCAAAGGGGTTGTTCCCTATATTCGAACTTGTTGCCCTTGCATATGTTTTTGTGATACAACAACATATGACTTTTTTCTCTCTAAATGATCAATTCTCAATTGACGAAAATGGTTATTGTTAATTATTTTTCAACTTCTAGATTTCAATTTGGTTATATTTTTTAATTGAAATGCTTTATTTTGGTTTGAAAAGTTATTTTATTATCTTAATCATATAGAAATATAGTTTTATTTTTTGATTTATTTAAGTATTCAAGAAAAATTGTTTTATCACTTTTTGGATCACATGATGTTGAATGATAAATGAAATCGAAAAATAGATGTGTCACACATCAGGGCATTCTATAATTGAGACATGCCATCATGTTAGTGCTTTAACATTTGAGGCACGCTTCAGCAAAACCTGCCTCAAAATACTGTGTTTAATGTAATCAGACATGTTAATTGCAAAATGCTTGAGTTATATTAATTTACAGTGAAGATGAACACCAATTATGCAAATTATCATTATGTTCTTGTTTAAAATAAATAAATAAATGTATTTTGTTTTAAATTTGGTATATCTATGCTCGTCATCTTTGTTTATTATGTTCTATTTATGAAGAGTAATAATGCATCAACGTTGTTGGTTTAACGAGTAAAAGTCAAAACAATTCATTATTTGAAAGATGAAAATTTGATTTTTTATTTCGGTGATAAAAGGGCCAGGGGCCCAAACAAAAAGGAAGAAAGAAAATTTGATTTTTAATATTAGTTATCTCTGGGTTATGTTTATTAATATTATTTTCTTAAAAAATGAATATGTTATAGAAATGACCATGGAGATATACATAAAATGACATAATTTGTTGTATTTATGTATTCTTATGTAAGTTTATAATTAGATAACTCTTTTCATTGACATATTCCTTTCTCTATTCCATTGTGTCATAATGAATGTCAAACTATATTTCCCCCCTTTTCTTATTATAGTAATGCACAACTTACTGTTTATCTTCTATTTATTTTGCATAGGTGATAAAGGCAAACGACGGCTTGAAAAAAATGATGAAGGTAAATCCCTTTTACCAATTATAAGCAATAAACCATACATGCATAAATAAATAAAGGAGTGATTGGTTTACATGTGTAAAATTTATCATTTTACACTACTTAATAATTTTATGCTAGATATGAATTTTATTGATCTAAATGTTGAATTGTATTTATCTATTATCTTTATTGTTTGCGTCAAATCATGCAAAAGTAGAACAACAATAAGAATATGATGAAATGGTTCTTATCTTTATATATTACAAAAGTATATATTACTTTATATATAGTAATAAAATGCTAAATAATTTTGGACTAATGTAATATTTTATATATATGATCTATATGCTAGGAGTTTTCAATCTAATAGTGAATTTTGAGGTAAAACTATCTAATAAAAAGTTATTCCATGATGTTTCTCATACAAAAAAGTTCTTTTTTTATTTACACCGTATAATTCATCTTTTGAATGCATATGTCTAAGTTAAGTCACATTAAAAATATCAAATTAGATCAAATATTGAAGTCTCAAACTTTATATCTGTTATAGACCTAACATAAAGCCTATATTTTATAAGGCTCAAGAAAGGTGAATAACTAAGGGAAATTAAGAAAAAATTTCCTTAATTATACTAATCCTAGTGCGATAACAACAGATCAAGAACTAGACCTCTAATATTCCTAGGAGGCCCAGAAGTCCACTCTTGGCAAGTAACCCATTTATAAATAAAGGGCTAAGCCAACTTGGTACACACACTCTAAATCCCCTCTTTCTCTCTCTCTCTCGGCTGTTATTGCGCACACACTTCACCCTTTGGCTATGTCGTTATTATTATAGTGTACAATGATCTGTTATTCTCTAAGGCTCCTCCCCTATAGGTACTTGAGAGAGGGCATCTAGATCCTATATAAACATACCAATCTATGATTGAACATCTCTGTCTCAAGGAGAGAACAATATCATTTATTCATTCTCCTCATGTGATATATCAAAATTCAAAATGATAATTAGAAATTGTTGAAATTCAGAAATCACTTCCAAAAAAAAGAATGCCTTAATACCAAAATTGTAGGAGAAATATTTATTATACAGTAATAGATGAAATTTGCATTATCTTGAACATACAAATTTAATTTGAGTGATGTTTCATTTATTATTCGTGATATTTATTGAATACTTTGTAACATTTGCACATATTTAAAATATCTTTGGAGTATGGTATGATGTATTACCACAATTTGGCTTAAGAAATATATTTGTTCCTAAATTCATTACTCAATTACAATTTAAATATGTGGCATTCATTTTCTTCTTTAAACACTTGAAAGTAAGAATGTGTATTGTATTCAACTGTGTATAGAACTGTACAGAGGACCTCTATTTAAAGAGGTTAAATGACCTAATGGGCTAAGCCCAAATAACCTGCTTAAATAATGAAATAATAAATATTATTTCTAACACTCTCCCTCAAGCTAGTGCATATATATCATAAGCTCTCAGCTTGTTACATATAT